ATCTTGAATAAAACCTAGAAAACCCGCTTCAATTCTTGTGGAATCGGCTTCAAGATCGTGTTTTTTGCCTCCAAAAATTGTAATTTTCTTCTCCTTGGACGTTCTGCCCTATTTCTGATGAATTTTGGCTTTTATATCATGTTCTCTTGGAGCCCCAAAAGATTTTTAATTAAAAACGCAAGTTCACATTTTTTTTTGATTTTTATAGCCATACGGCGCATGGTGTTAAACCATGCAACCGCATGGTTCAAGTGGACTGCCTCTATGAAATCCCTGCAACCTTATGTGCGGCCGCATGGTTGTAACTTTCAACCTTGCTGTTTTGGTCCCTGAACTTCGTTTTCTCTTCTCTTGATCTCTTTTCTTTCTTTCCTTTGTTCCATCATCAAATATTGACTCCTAATTGACATTTGGATCAATCAATTCCTTGATCACTTGCTCGTCTCATCTTTTGATTATTTGCAATTTAGTCCTTCATCTTTCACTTTTCTTCAATTCAGTCCAACATTACTTCTTTCTTCCTCTGATCGTCTTGTATCGTCCTCAATCTCATACTTGATATATTTTCATTCTCGTCCTGCACTTTAGCTCAACTTTCCAATATTTGCACCTTTGGTCCCCGAACTATCGCTTTGTTTCGTTTTGATCATTTTTCGGCACTTTGCTTCTGAATTCCATCTTTTCCATAGAAACATCTACATTGCATGAATTTAACGAGATTAAGTTTCAATTCAACTACTTTGTCCATGTTTAAGTCATGTTTGCGAGCTAAATAAGTGTGTAAAAACACACTTATCAAATCCCCCAAACTTAAACTATTGTTTGTCATCAAACAATGTAGTGACTTAATGCTAAACAAACATGGCTTAATAGCTTGCCGTGTCTCAGGATTGGAACTTAGTAATAATAATAGAAACAATATCAAAAGTGCGAGAATTGAATCAACCTTTACTCATCAAATGCAATACTCAACGTGTGTGTGTGAACTCATGCAAACATATCAAGCTTATGATTAGTTTATTCCCGACCCATAGTGGTCAAATTTATCCTTACATCACTCGAGAGATACACAACCCCCAAATGTATTCTTTTCACACAATTACTCCAGGGTGTATTCTAAGGTTAAGAGTTTAAACAATTTTAATCCTTACCCTCTCTTAGTTTGGATAGATTTTACCATTACAAGTTCACATATTAACAAGTAGAGACTCTCCTTATTTTGATTGTTTCAACCTTTAGGATTAAACTAAGCTACTTGCCTCGCATCAAGGTTATAGTTCTATCAACCAAATGTCCAACAAGGATTTTTTTTTTTTTTGGTGTCATCTTTTCTCTTGCTTTCTATATAACCTATGTAATAAGCTTTAGGCGATGACTCCCAAACCAGTTGGATTTAGGGCACCAGGTTTTAAACCCTTGCAGTCTTATTCACTCGAGTTATAAAGGCTCGATAAGATGACTTTTTATCAATTTCTCCCTTTTCTTGCTTTCTATATGACCCATGTAACGAGCTTTAGGCCGATGACTCCCAAACCAGTTGACATTAGGGCATCATGTTTTAAACCCTTACAGACTTACTTGCTTGAGTCTTTAAGGCTTTTGAGAGAAGTGATGATTTTCCAATTTTTACTTTATGCCCCTTCTTTGTTTTTCTAGACATTTGACTTCCAAAACCATCCTCACTTAAAGCTTTTACCTGTTTCTCACCTTTCGGGTTTAAACAATCCACACAGTATAATTCATGCACGGAGCCCCCACTTATCTCCATGTTTCCCTACAATGGCTCAACCATCTCCAAACTATCATAAAGTGGTATTACGGGTTAATGTTATAGAGGGTTATTCTAGGTTTCTCCTAATTTATTCTAAAATTCCAATCAATAACTTAACACGTGAAGCATGAGTGGCGTGCAAAAGAACGTCAAGCAATGCATCAACAAGTATTAGCAAATTAAATCCAGCACTAAATCCACAGTTTCTAGTTTATACATGTCCAATAATCACATCATAGCCGGCAAGGCTACCAAACTCACAACCATGCAAAAGTTCATCAAGACTCACTCATCAAGCATGCATCATGCAAAAACTTGTCAAAATTAACGATGGATTGTGAATATGCAAAATAATTACATGCCGAATATTTGTTTGAAATTATGCTACCATCCCCCAAACTTATACAATACATTGTCCTCAATGTAAAATGTAAAGTTAAAATGGTAAAATTTAAAACATGGACACAACTTGGCAATAAGAGATTAACAAAACTCCTCTGATCAATTCGATAGCTGTGGTGTGAAGTTGGGACCCGTAGCATCATCTTTAGGAGGAGATGGGAGGCGAGATAGGAGTTGTCTCAGCAACTCGGACTGCTGTGCTTGCTCGGCCTGAATGGCTTGAAGACTACTTACCATACTTCCCAAACGATCCCAAGTTTCCTTCACACGCCACTGTATGCCATCCATTCTCCCAGCGTACATGTTGAACCTACCATTCATAGTCTCTACTTCCCTTCTTGCAGCTGTGACTTCATTCATAACACCTTTTGTGTAGTCTCGAGAGGAGTAGAAGTCTCTCTGCACTTTTTCAACAGTGGTGGTCATCGTCTCGAACCTCTGCTGGAGATTTTGTATATCCCTACTAGTTCCAGTGGCGGTGGCAAATATCTGTCGAAGTAGCTGGGAATCCATTTCAGCTGGTTGTGGCGGGGCTTGTGGTAGGTGTATATCTTCAGCTGTTTGTCCTTCTTCCTGCACATTATGTCTTTGCTGCTCAAGTCAGTCTTGTTCTCTCTTCCTCACCCTAGCTCGTTCCTGAGCTTCAAATGTTGTGAGCTTTATCAATAGGCTTAATTTCTCAGTCATCTTCCTTGTCTCAACTGTAACACCGACGACGAGACATATCCCGCTAATCAGACTAGGGAAGATCATCGAAGATCGCCTATCTCCCCAGGTCCCCAAATTTTGTATCTGATCATAGATAAGAGTATCCAAATCAACTTTGTATCCCTGGACTAAATGATATATGAACCCAGCAGTTTGATCCGTGAAAGTTGTCCGATGCGATGTGGGTTCGATATTATGGCACATGAAGACCCAGAGGATGGCTATGGAGGGAGTAAGCTCAATTTGATGCCACTCTGCAGTGGGTAGGGGCCAAGTATTTTCTCTTCCCAAGAGAACCTTTGCCACTTCATTCCAATTGAGTTGAGTGGGAATCGGGACCACATTGTGCAAATTAAGATTGTAGAAGTCATGAATGACGGCTGGGGAGAACATTATCCACTTACCTGGCACCCACATCTGGTGTAAGTGTTCAGAATCCAGAGTCTCAATTTCACTATTGAAGTTTGCATAAAATTTGCGGACTATACTTTCATAAACCGGGTGTGGCCTTTCTACAATCTTATCCCATCCACAAATTTGTATCAGATTTGTCAACTCAAAACCACGAAAGTCCTCTAACTGGACCTGTCTCTCTGGTATCATGCCCCAATGGCGTATTATGTTCTCGTATCGAGCTAATGTTTTTGCATCTCAGAATCTTCGTACACCTCCTATTAGCTCTCTGGTGCGGGCTGTACCGGAGAAGGAACCAACTTTTTCTTTTCCCTTTGATGTCATTTTCAACGGCATCCTACAAAAGTAAGGAACAAAGTGTATCAAGTTCTTGAAATAAGAAAACGATAAAGAATATCATTGACATGCAAGAATCCCCCAAACTTTCTTCAAAATGTGTGCAATATTCAACGTATGGAAGTCAATGTAACATCAATATTGTATTACTGAGAAAAACTCAAAACTATGGCTCTAACATGCACTTTTTGAAAATTCGACCCATGTCTAAGTGACCATCTTCAGCCCCGAGCATCACCGAGAAATAATAAAATTTCCCCGAACAGGGTCCCAGACATATGAAAGTACTCATTGTGGTCTAGCATATATCCAAATTTCACTACAATCGGAGGTCGTTTGGTTAGGAAATTACGTGGACGAAGTTAGTGACGTGAGTTGACATGGCTTAGCAATTATGTGTTTATGTGCACAAATATGTGAGGCGAATGTGTTCTAATGAAATTCCATGAGATTTCTCGTCTATTACACCTCACAATAACAATATAAATCATCACACAAATGAAAAGTCCAAAATTTCAAATCATATGTCTCACTAACATTTAATCAAACACGTTGTGTGCATTGGGAATTTCTAACACTTTGTTATTGATTTACGCTTAGGGCTAATCCACAAATCACATTTCAACACTCAACCAATTCGAAAAATTCATAAAATCAAAGAAATACTTCAATCTTTGCATAGAAAGTTAAATTTCTTACCTCGAGAGTTTTTGTGAGATGAAAGTGGAGAGTTATGCTTCAATATTCTTGATATCAATGCTAATGAAGAGAAAAATGTGGTGCTAGGGTGAAGATTTGATGCTTGTTGGAGTGATTGTGCTCGTGTGAAGGTGGATGGGGGAGGAAGTGGGATGTTCGTGTGAGGGTGAAATGGGGGGGGGGGGAGTGGGATGGTTTTTGCAAGTGACGGGTTAATAACTCGTCACTTATACACCATGCAACCGCATGTTGGCAAGTGACGGGTTTAAAACCCGTCGATGCCCCCCTTTTTTGATTTGGTAGGGGTTCATGCGGCCGCATGGACAAAGCCAATTTTTATTTTATTTTATTTTATTATAAATTAAAACAAACTTACAATTATAACTCCAAACACAACTTGAAATTTAAAAATCCCCCGAAATTGGTTTTGAATTTCAAAATTGACTCGACTCGCCATATTCCGAAAAATAAAATATTTTATTTATTTATTTATTTTTTTCACTTGAAAGGGAATATGCTTATCGAAAACTTGGCACCAAAACCAATTCTTTACAAAAGTTTTTGAAAAGCATCTCAAAAAATAAAACGAACAACTTGGTACCACGAGATACATTACTTCACACTCACACTCAAACACCCAAAACACTTTATTTAGCCCCGACTCATGCAACTATAAGCGTGTAGTGCCTAGACTATCATGCGTGAATGATCGATGACCTAATAAAACATATGAAATTTAAACAAATTCCTAAACTATTGCAATGAAATAAATTGAAGGATACAGTGGGTTGCCTCCCACCCAACGCTAGTTTATAGTCGATAGCTCGACTTTCCCATGTCTTCTTCACGTTAGGTTGTTGAGTTGCATAGTGGACTTCTGCTTAGGGAAATTACAGCCCCAATAATATTTTAGTCTTTGCCCATTGACGATGAAAGTACCTTTGGTTTCGTGACTCACTTCAATAGCCCCATATTGTATCACCTTAGTTATGGTATAGGGACCCGACCACCTTGTTCTTAGCTTTCCTGGAAAGAGTTTGAGTCTAGAATTGTACAATAACACTTTCTGGCCAACTTCAACCCCTCGCCTCTGAATGTGTAAATCATGCCATCTCTTGGTGCGCTCCTTGATCAACTTTGAGTTCTCGTAAGCTTCCATTCTCATCTCATCCAATTCATTAAGTTGCAACAGTCGTTTTTCACCAGTAGCCTTGAGATCCATATTCAACTGTTTCATAGCCCAAAATGCTCGGTGCTCCAACTCCAATGGTAGATGACATGCTTTCCCAAAAATCAGGCAGTATGGAGACATTCCTATTGGTGTCTTAAACGCTGTTCTATAAGCCCACAATGCATCGTCCAACTTTTTAGACCAATCTTTTCGGGATAAGTTCACTGTAACTTCCAATATTCTCTTGAACTACCTGTTCGAAACTTCAACTTGCCCATTGGTTTGTGGATGATATGGAGTTGCTACTTTATGCTTCACCCCATATTTATTCAACAGCTGCTCTAATTGACGATTTATGAAGTGTTTGCCTCCATCACTTATTATCGCCCTCGGTGTACCATATCTTGTAAATATGTACTTCTTCAAGAACTCTATTACCACTTTTGCATCGTGGTAGGCAATGCAATAGCTTCCACCCACTTAGAGACATAGTCAATGGCCACCAAGATATATTGATTTGAGTACGATGGGGGAAAAGGTCCCCTAAAGTATATTCCCCATACATCAAATATTTCAACCTCCAAGATGTAGTTTAGTGGCATCTCATTTCTTCTTGAGATATTTCCGGTTCGTTGGCATCTATCGCATCTCTTCACATACTCGAATGTGTCTCTGAATAAAGTAGGCCAATAGAAGCCCGACTGTAGTATCTTTGCAGCAGTCTTTGAAGCTCCAAAATGCCTAGCATATGCAGAAGAGTGACAATGTTCTAGAATCTTCGGTACTTCATCTTCAGGAATGCATCTTCTGATTATCTAATCTGCGCCTCTTCTGTAGAGAATGGGATCCTCCCAAAAGTAATACTTCAGCTCTGCGAAGAACTTCTTTCTTTGATGGCTAGAATACTCTGGTGGAGGGATGGACTTAGCAAGCTAGTTAACAATATCAACGTACCATGGGACTATTTCTACTCCAAAAATTTGCTCATCTGGAAAGATTTCATTGATGTCAACTGACATCTCAGATTCATCCTTCTTATCCTTGATCTCAATATCGAACTCTTGCAACAACAATATCCAGCGGATCAATCTTGGCTTAGCATCCTTCTTTGTCATAAGGTACTTCAGAGCGGCATGATCTGTGTAGACGATGACCTTAGACCCAACAAGATACGATCTGAACTTGTCGAATGCATAAACCACAACTAGCAATTCCTTCTCAATTGTCGCATAGTTGATTTGGGCGTCGTTCAAAGTTCTACTTGCATAGTATATCACATGAAAGATTTTATTCTTTCTTTGTCCCAATACCGCACCAACTGCATGATCACTCGCATCGCACATTAGCTCAAAGGGCAAATCCCAATCAGGTGACACAATCACAGGCGCTGTTGTTAGTTTTTGATTCAAAGTATTGAACGCTATCAAACATTCCTCATTAAACTCAAAAGATACCTCTTTCATTAGCAAGTTGCACAGGGGCTTGGTAATTTTCGAGAAGTCCTTTATAAACCTCCTGTAAAACCCTACATGCCCAAGGAAGCTTTATGGAAGATTGTGTAGTTAAAAATAAAAAATAAAATATAATATAATGAGGGCCGAATGGGGGCTAAATCTCAGCATTGATATGTACCACTCATATTCTAGTAATTTATGTACACACATAAGCTACAACTTCATATTCTCTTTCTACTAAATTGATAGATATTGGCTAAAAGAAGGGTGCTCTTTTAGCGGAGCTTTGAGTTCATTCTCTGAAATTTTCTATTTGTACGGAATTTTAGTTGACAAAATTCTGACATAAAGAGGCACATGTGTGGGTCCCATGTGTAATAAAAAAATGCCAAAAAAATCACCCACCCAGCCCATGTGAGTTGTCTGGAAACAATTTGTGAACTAAAATTTTTATAAGTGCAGTAGGGCTATCATTTTCTAGTGCAAAACAGATTGAACTAGACATAAACAATCGTATCACAGGTGAACAGTCAAGAAGATAATTAGCCCCCGTTTGGCCTCCATTCTTTTTATCTCTCTTATTTTTAACTACACAATCTTCCATAAAATAATATTACACAGAAATCAAAAACTTTTCATTCTTTTTCAGTCACACGTTTTTCAAAAAAATACTATTTCAACCATTAAAATTTGAAAAGAACCCCCTTACTGAGACTTATTGTACTGGTGAGTCAGGACTTTCAAAATTGCGAAGGGCATAAATCTCCTTAAAGAGGGTGATAATTTACATGCACCTCGGCCTAATTGGTTACGTGTTTGCTTCTGAATTTAGTTGTAAAATTTTATTTACAATTATAATTTCACTAACAGGAGATTCAAATGGAGCAAAAGTTCACTAAGTAAAAACTTACTAATAAGTCAAAAGTTAACTTGTAAGTGAATTCATCTATCAGTAAAAATTTACTTATTAATAAAAAATATTGTCATATTTCTTTTTTTCTTTTTCTTTTTTTTGCTTTACAATACTTATTTATTTTTTTAATACAATTTAATAGCATCAAACGTGTGAGAAAAATGTGATAATCATAGTCTACGTTAATCATATTTTCACTAATCATATTCTCCTAACTCTAGCTAAAATAAACTATTGTACAAGTTTGAAATTCAAAAAAAAAAAAATCATTTAATTTTGAAAGAGTTTATTTATGGAGTAAGTACTTAAAATACATTATTAAGGAAATAACATTTGGATTTTAAATACTTTATAATGAAATTAATCCTCTAACTGTCAAAGTTTTTTTGAGATTATAAGTCTATGAATTTCATGAAATATGTGATGGAAAAGTGAATAAAAAATATGAGTCGAATTAAATTTTTTATAATTTAAAACACAATTTTAACTTACAATTTGGAAAAAAAAAATTACCAAACAGAAGCTATCTACTTACTTTTAACCAAAATTAGGTCGAACACTTTTTCACTCACTGGGCCGCTTGATTGCGATGAAATGAAATTTGATTTCAAATCCGAAGGTACCACAAAGACAACTGTAACAAGGGAAGAGTATAGGGGTATTTGGGTACCACAATTTTAATATAAACAGACAAATACAATCCAGGCCAGCAGAAAGATATTGTTCTTGAAGCAATAAGAAGATGAGGTGTAATTTCTTATAATCCTCTCTTGTAGATGGCTTTATCATTTACATCACTCCTTTCAATCCATTACTAAAGACGAAAGATTTATAGATGTTCGTGTACAACAATAACAGAGTAAATCTTGCTATAGATTAATTTGGAGTTTCTCTTTACAATTCGTTGATAGATCTAGTAAAAGTAAACATCATCATCGAATTTAGTCTTTTTTTTAATAAACTTGAGGTCAGCTACGTGAATTCCTTTTTGTCATCACGTTCGATTCATTGTTAAATCTAGTGCAAGAGTCAAGCATTCACACATGGATCCTATATACTTCGTCCTCCCCATTTATATATGCTTATTTTGTTTTCCATACAAATTAAGAAATCTTATTTAATGTTATTGAAAAAATAATATTTGCCAAAATTTTCTTAGTTTACCCTTACTTATGTATGTAAAATTTCAAGATTAAGCGAGGATAAATGGTTATAATTAGACAAATTAATAAGGGTATATTAGTAAACGAATAAAATAAAACATTTTCAATAAAAAAATAAGACAGTAATTGGGACAAGAAAATAAGGAAATGCAGCCTATTTAAATGGGAACTAGGCTTTTGACTTTCATTAATGCGATTAGTATTGAGATGTTTTTGTTGTTTTCATGTAATTATCTGGAATCTGTTTGGCAAGAAAGCCTCCAATAATTAGGTCTATTTGGAAGCTAGCAAGCAACCAAAATAGTTTCACATGAGCCAATCCGATCGGTTGCATCATTTAACCGGACAAACAGAACTTGATAAATTTTATGAGTTTCAAAGCATTGGCAGTATTCAAATCTTAAAGCTTTCACAATCTTAAATAAATAATGCTTGAGAATTCAAAGTCTCTAAAATTGTGGCTGCCCCAAGATTAAAGCTCATTTTACAGGTGACTGATAAGGAATATTCTTGTTGTACACAACCGTGTACATAAGGGTGTCCATTCGGTGGCCCCCTAATGGACGGGGCGTCGGTGGGCCAGGCGTACCCTCCAATAGGAGGGCATTGGGTGTCCATTTTGGACACCCTTATGTACACGGTACATGTAGCAACCTCCGATTGATAATACATGTGAAGCATCATATATTGACAAAAATGATGATGGGCCTCGAAGAATTAGGAGACCAAATCCCAGATACTCGGATGATGATGTTAAACAGATGTTGGATAAATTAATTATTGACACCCAAGATTGAGAACCCGACCCTAAAACTATTTGGACCATTGGAAGCAATCTAATTAATTAGTGTTGCTCATGGCTTAGCTTCCACACTCATTGGACGACTTATATTGTTGGCCCACTTATCGGTATTTTATTGGACTTGGCCCCACCACTTTGACCTAACCTAACCTATATATGCTAGCCTCCTTGGTCTCCTATGAATCACGTGTGTTTTGTCTTGGAAGAAAATAACTTTTTGCTTCTTTGTGCTCGTGCTCTTGCTTTGGCCGATTTTTCTTCTTCCTCTTCTCTAGCCTTTGTCGCATGGCTGAAAATACTATCCCTTTTGTGTCCTTAGTGGGTACAAGGTAAAGCAATCGGAGTGTGAAAGAAAGTTTGAGTTTTGGGTTGTGATTTGTTTGGGTGTTGTGAAGGTCGAGATTGGTATCCCGAGCCCAAAAAAGTCCACCAATTGAAGGTCTATTATTCAAGACATGGAGGACCAGTTCAGGAGGACTGCTAACGTGGAAGCTAGAGCTGTTCAAAGGGAAGTTAATTGCCCGCCACATGCTTGTCTTTGGGCGCAAGATTAGGAAGTATTGTTGAGTTTGTTTAGGAGTTGATTAAGTTTATCTCTTTAAATAAGTCTGCAAACAATTAGTTTAGGTGTGAATTTGATTGTAATCATGGTCTTATCTCTAGCCCAAAATTGGAGAATTCTATTGCAATTCAAGCATTCAGTTTGAGCAATTTCTTGGGTTCCAACAAATTTGGTATCAGAGCATAGGTTTCCATGGTCACCAATAAGGAACGACTCGACAAGCTAGAGTTTGAACTGCAAGAGGTGC